GGGGGGGGGGGGGGGGGTAAAAATATATATATTATATATATATAAAAGATAAACACCTCATACTGCCTACGCCAGGGCACGGAAAACACCGCAACCCGGCACTGCCCTCTTCCTCCCGAGCCCAACATGGCGGCCGCGGCATCGCCTCACGCCTAGCCCAAGATGGCCGCCATAGGGAGGGAGAGGGAAGAGAGGGCTTGCCAGCACTTAAGATGGCGGCAGCGCCGTTCTACCACCGCCTACCTCACCCGGTGAGGAGGATAGGTATCACCCTAGCGGCGTTCGTCGCTTGCTTATTTATTTATTGACGTGCCCGCCCCGCCTGGCTGCCGCTGCGGAGCGTAGGGGCGCCGGGGGCGGTGGCGTGTGCGGTGGCTTCTGGGAGGCCAAGTGGGCGGTGGCGGGGCAGGAGGCGGTGGCCGCCGGGAGGGGGCCGGGCCGGCAGCGACGCGGTTCCTGTCGCCGTGACATGGGTTCCCCCTCCATGGCGGTTGCCGCGGGAGGCCTCAGATAACCGACCGCGTCCCCTCTTCCCCTTCCCTCCCTTCCCCCCCCTTCCCTCCCCGCCTGCCGCCATGCCCGCCCGGGCCTCGCCACCCCCAGCGCAGCCCTCAGGTAAGAAACGGCGCCGCCGCTACCTCCGGAGCGGCTGGTTCCCTCCCCTAGGCCCTGGCCGGGGAAAGGGAACCGGGGAAGGCAGGCGGGGACCCCCCATCCGCCTCATCCTCCGGGGGCCTGCAGCGGCCGGGGCCCTGTCGGGGCATGGCGCTCTCCGGCCATCCCCAGGGGAGGGCGGGGAGGCCGGGCCGGGCGGGGGGTGAAGCCCCTCAGCGCTCTTCCCCCCCCAACTTCGCTGAGGCGCTTCTCCTTCAGCTCGTCCCGCCGCCGGAACGAGGGGACGAGGCCGGGAGGCTTTGTCCTTCGATGGGGTGGCACCCGGCCTGAGGCGAATGTGTCCCCCCCCTCCTATTTTTGTGGGGTTCAGCGGGGCCGCAGCTGAGAGAGAGGGCTCTGTGGTGAGGGAGAAGAAGTTCAGCCGTCCTGCGTGTTTGGTTGGGGGTTTTTTTCCTGATAAGCTCGCTTTTTTTTTTTTTTTTCTTTTTTTTTTTTTAAGGGGCGTAAGGCATGTCCGTTGTTAAAGATGACATGCTGAGGCAGGGTTGTGAAATGGAACAAACTGCTGAAATGCTTATTAGGTGCCGACACTTCAGTTTGTTATTGTTAAGTGGTTACCTGATGAGCCAAAAATACTCTTTTTTTTTCCCTTAGAGGAGACAGTCCCTCAACCCAAGGGTTAAACCTTGGGATCCCTGCCAGGCGTCAGTAAGTTGGCTTCTGGGTGGCAACAGCTCCTTCCTTCCAGCTTCAGCACAGAAATTGAAACCCTCAGAAGTTTGATGCTCCTTTTAAAGCAGAAGTCTGTTGGTAAATGAAGGGAGCGAGGAGAAGAAGCGTCGTGGACAAGAGCTGTGCTGCCTTGGTCACAGAAGTTTAGTTTTCGTGCACGATTGAAGAACGTGATGTGCTTCATTAGAACTCATTTCTTCAGCTGTTGAGTCCATGGTAAAGTGAGTTTGATGGATGCTGCTTTCTAACCGGGCTGCTCCTTTGAGGTTGAGCAAAATTAAAAGCGTTTCCTCCTTGTTTTATTCTCTGGACGCATGAGCTAGGCAGGGAAAACCAATTAGCCTACTTTAAGCATAAAAATGTTAGGTTGCATTGTTGGTGTGCACAGCCTTTTCTATGCCTGCTCATAGAGCTAATGTGTGGGTAGCGGTTCCTCATCCTGAAGTTGGAGCTGTACCTAGAGGAATATAACATTAATTGGGAGAGCTGGGGGAAGAGGTGAAGTACCTGTGGCTACTGAGGGGTTGTGGTTTGGGATGGGGTTTTTTTGGTGGTGTTTTTTTTTTTTTAACATTCCTTTAAAATAAAATAGCATTTTGAGGATATGAGAATTTAACCTTAAAAATATGAGAGAACTGTATAGTAAAGGGACTCCAGAAAAGCTAATGTGGCTCTGGTGTTTCCATTCCACATGATATTTGCATAAAGTACACGTTGTGTGACCTTCTAAGGTCGTGTGAAAGTATGACCTATTCTTTTTACTTCCTTAATTTGTTTATAAGTAAGTGGTTGAAGGATCTTGGCCTCAGTAGATGAGTCTGTGCTGTCCAATTATTTTTTAGTCGGATCATGATTTTGCTTGGCAAAGGATTTAATAGTCTATAAAATTTGGTTATACAGACTTAATCATATTTATTACATACTTCTGTCGATGAAGACAGTGTGTGATCTTCTGTTTATATTTAAAAATTGCTTTAGTAAGTTACTAAGTTAATGCCTGTATTTTAATGCTCTAATTACATAAAATAATATTCTGAAACCTTAAGGGCTTTGAAAAGCGTTGTCTTTCACAGTGGAAATAATAGAGCGGCTTAGATGGACTTCTGTCAACTCTTTGCCCTTTCCTCTTGAAATATTCATACAGCTTTCCTCGCGGATATGTAGTGGTATCAGTTGGAAACCCAGCAGTAGAGAAACTGATGCTGGATCTGGTTGTTTTCACTATACTCAGCAGCATACTCTTCTTTCAGATCCTCATTATCTTTTCCAACAAAACGTTCATTCCTTTCTGTGCTATCATACCGTTTGACAAGTTAAACTACATCTTTGTGAACGTTTCAGTGCAATAATGTGCTAATGTTTTCATGGAGATTCAAAATACTCGTAACTTTTTCTGGATGGGTGTCCTAGACCCTGCTCATTGCTAGGTTTCAGAAATTTTGTCTGTTAATTTTCTTTTCCCTTTGTGCAGAAAATACACTGTTTAAGCTGCTGTTATGCGTGCAAAGAATGTGCCTTGTTTGAAAAGTGACAGTCTCAGTTCCAGTAGACTTTCTTCTGTGATTATGTCTTTAGCAATTAAAATTTTGGACTGACACGGCAAGAGATGTTTCTGTACTGGTACCAGTGGCAAAGTGATGTAATGAGTCTGCTTCTGTAAGGCAAATAATTTGGGTTTTTCAAACTCGAGAGTCCTGTTTTGGAACAACCTCAAGGAAGGGCAAATCTTGTCTTCACTTTACTAGATTCCAAAGTAGGTACCAGGGGATGGAAACGTGAAGCCTCAAGTTCCTATGTCTCTTGAAAAGTGACAGAAAATAGTTTTTATTTTTGGAGTATTAGGTGCCCCCCCGTATTGCGTTTTTAATATGAAATAATGTCTGTAGGTGGGATAAATGATGAATAATATAAACCTGTTCTTGCTATGTGTGTTTTACTTGATTCAGTCAGGGTTTGGGTTTTTTATTGTTTTGTTTTCTCACCTGCTTGCTTTCTGCACATTGACGAAAGTATTTGTTCACTTAAAAACAATTACAAATTTGCAGTAACAGGAGGAAGACCGATGGTTGTGTGACTGTATTTCCTCTGCCTAGCTGTGGGAGAACACGTCATATAAAAGTGCATCCCTGGGCAGTTGTAATCTGCTCTTTACTGTAGTCTGTGTGAAGTTTGAAGGGTTTATATGTTTTGGAAAACACACTGTTCTGTAAATAAATCTTTGTGAACAGTTGACTTTAAGTAATCTAGTTCTAATACTTTCTAATCCAGCATCTTTTCATCTTAATTTAGAGCAGGTTCCCAGCTAACATGTTGCAGGGTAACATCCAGAAACAAGTTTTCTCACTGAGTTGAATGCTGTTTTAAAAGGAATTTAAGAAATGGTAGGAATGAAAACATCCTGGTGGTGTTACTTAGGACATCTGTCTTTACACATTTGTGGATGTGTGCCCTACATGGCACACAAATATTGTGTTCCTGTAGAGCCAAATCTTAAACCTGGTTGATTTTCCCAGCCAGATGTTTTTGCTTATATGAATTAAAAACATACTTGTTACAAGGTTTTACCCACTGTCTATGGATTGAGGGACAGACAGCATGTGTCTTTATCTGCAGCTGTTGAAGCAGGTCAGTAGATTTTGAGTTGAAACATGAAAATTTTTTGCTTAGATTAACTTTACAAAAATAACCTGGCCTTCTGGTTTTGGGCAAGTGATGCTATTTTGGTTAAAAAAAAAAGTTTCATAAACTAACACAACATTTAGATTTGTATTTTTCAAATGTTCCTCCGATTCTACAGCAAAGCCTAAATGAAATGGGGGGAAAAAAAAACTAGTGGAAGTATGTTTGGTTGCTTCTTTATATAATCTAACAAGATTTAAAGGAAGACATCTATATCCCAAATCTGTTTAAATGTCATATTTGTGCCACCTAACTTAAGGCTTCCTGCGTTCTCAGTGGTGAGAGGAGGAGGAGGAGCACTGTCAAAGGTTTGAATCTTGTATGGGCTGGATTGTCTGGGGAAGAATGAGCTGCCTGAGATAAGTGCCTAAATCCTGATGCAGTCTCCTGAGTTTTGTTAATGTTCATTTTACATACGTTTTCTAATAGAAGGTGTCTAGCATATTTGGTGTTTGTTGAAACCACAGTAATGTGCACTGGTATTGATTAATTCCAAATGTCGGGTGATGAGAAATAAGACTTAAGTACATTGGGCTTATAGGAACTGGAGAATGTTGTTTTCTTCAACTCCTGTATGTCCAAGCAAAAAAAAAAAAGTGCTTTGAAACTCCTGCTTTGGGTAATGGACCTTCTGGCTGTAGCAGCAGTAGATTCAAAATCGAAAACATTGATTTCTCAGAGGCTTTATGAAGTAAACATTTTCTTGCTGTATTTTGTTTGCTGGTAACTTATTCAAAAAATAAAAGTAAGCTTATTAAAGCAATTTAAAAACATATTGACTTCAGCCTGGCCAGTGACTCTAGAGAGAGTGGGTTTGGGTTGCAGGAATGCTGTTTTAACAGACAAGCTCTCCTTGTTTACAGTGGCCCCTCTAGAAATAAGTTGTCAGATGCAGAAAGACTGTGAGTCCGTTGTTCATGAGGCAATGAAAAAGTAAAGTTAAAACGCAAGAGGACGACAGCTTTTCCTATTGGAAGCCAGTATTTTGCTGCAATGAGAAGTCTAAATCTGGTCCTTACTGCAGTGGTTTTGGTATCTGCTTGAGGAATTCCCTTGCAGCAGGAGTGTGTTCTTGGAAACATCAGATGCTTGCAGCTAGTGACTTCAACCCATCTCCTTGGCCATCGCGAGGCCTTCACTGTAGGGCATTGCAGTAACGTTGTCGTTTCTGTCATGGAGATCTTGATCGTGCCATTTCTGATTATTCTGCTTTCTTTATGCTTTAAGTGATGGGTTGCTTAACTCGGCTTTGCTTTCAGAATAATCCACAGTTGAGAGGTCATCCATTGCATCTTGAGTTAAAGGGAACATTCTGCCCTACGAGCGGTTTCTTTTAAATTCACGTCTCAAACATTTCTTTAGAGATATTCTTTGTTTGTGGCCTCCCTGGCTTTTTAGGTCTTATGTAAGAGCCAAACATGCTATTTCAAGTTTTGCCGTAAAAGATATGCAGAGGAACTATTTATACCTGCTTTTGTGTATTGCAATTACATAGTCCTCTTTGCTGCCATGTGTTTGTTGGACTGTTACTGTTATCCTACAAAAACGTAATGAACAAGGGTGTGATCAACACAAGCCAGCAATGGGCCCTTGTGGCCAAGAAGGCCAATGGCATCCTGGGGTGCATCAAGAAGAGTGTGACCAGCAGGTCGAGGGAGGTCATCCTGCCCTTCTGCTCTGCCCTGGGGAGGCCCTGTCTGGAGCACTGGGACCAGTTCTGGGCTCCCCAGTTCCAGAAGGACAGGGAACTGCTGGAGAGGGTACAGCAGAGGCTACAAAGATGATGAGAGGCCTGGAGCATCTCCCTTACAAGGAGAGGCTGAGGGACTTGGGTCTTTTTAGTCTGGAGAAGAGAAGGCTGAAGGGGGATCTGATCAATGCTTATAAATACTTCAAGGGTGGGTGTCAGGAGGATGGGGCTGGTCTTTTTTCAGTGGTGCCCAGGGACAGGACAAGAGGAAACGGGCACAAACTTGAACATAAGAACTTCCATCTAAACATTAGGAGGAACTTCTTTCCTGTGAGGGTGGCAGAGCCCTGGCAGAGGCTGCCCAGGGAGGTGGTGGAGTCTCCTTCTCTGGAGACATTCAAAACCCATCTGGACACGTTCCTGTGGACCTGCTCTGGCAGGGGGTTGGACTGGATGATCTCCAGAGGTCCCTTCTGACCCCATGTGATTCTGATATCTGTGTATGAGGAAGGAGATACTATTCCTTATTTACTGCAAGCAAATAATGATACCCTTGTCTGATAGTAAATGTTTTAGAAACTCACTTAGTGGCTTGAGATAAGAGTATGCATTTTGCCTTTATGAATTCTTGCCCCCTTAAAACTTACGTCAACTACTACTCTTATCTAATCCAGTATTACTGATTTCTGTTTTCTCTCTTCTTTTGTTTTCAATCAACCCGAGGTACATTCTTAAATTCTTGTGACCTTAGAAAAATGTTTGAATGAAGAGTTGCAGTAACAGAATTGAATCTGACCAAATTAACCAGCAATGTTTTTGGGTTTTTTTCTTTAAAGTAAAATGTCAATACGT